GCATTAGGGGCATGGAGGTAAACAAGCCATATCCTCTGCCTCCAGGGAGCTCAGAGTCTGCTGCAAAAGACAGGTAGATAATTGGATCATGTCACACAGGTGTCAAGAGCCATGAAGGCAGTGTGGCTATATGGGGAATGCAAGGTTGGGGTGCTCCCTAATCAGCACAGGAGGCTATCCACATCAGCTAAGAGCAGAAGGATGAGCTTGCCCGGACTAAGAAAAGGCATTTCAGGAAGATTGAATGGCATGTGACTCCAAAGAGCCTGGCATGGGGGTTGGGCTTGCAAGAAGTGCTGGATGGCTGGGTGAGGTGGAAATCCACGGTTTTCCTGGCCCCATATCCATCCTCCCTTCTGGCCACAGAATCTGGACTTTCTTTTGGGGAACCAGGTACCCCTACTCTCCTGGCTTGTTCAGGATTGGCATGTGACTGTGGCCTGGATGATTAGAACATTGCTCAGAGATGGGCAAGGGACCAGCAGGCCAATGGGTTTCAGTTCGGGGACTTCTAAGGAATAATGGGAAAAAGAAACTCTATTTCCACTGGGCTTGAAGTCTGCAGCTGCTGGGGTTCTCCATGGGAAGCCCATCTGAGAGGGGATCAACCCAGGTCAATGCACAGGCAATGAAGTGAGAGAGCCCGAGCCCAGGTGAGATACTGTAGACCTGGATCCAGCCAGGCCTGGAGGACTGACCTGGGATTTCAGTCCTGTGAGCCAGTCAATGCTTACTTTTTTGTTTAAATCAGGTTGATTTGTAACCAAGAATCCAGACTAATGCACTGGGGTAGAGGACAAGGGGGAGGGTGGAGTGGCATACAGGGGCCAGCTTGTAAAGGTAGGGGTTGCTATGAGTCGGATCTGACTCGATGGCAGTAAGGTTTTTTTTTTTTTTTTTTTCGCATTATGGATTTACTCAACCCTTAGAACTGGGAAGACTCACTCGTAAGTGGGAGATCTTAGCTAGCTAAGAGAGGGAGGAGAAAAAGTAATGGACTTTTCTAGAAAATTCAGAGCCTTTGGAATATCTTTTCTGGGTTTTTCCCATCGGAATGAATGGCCTGGCCTGGAATTGGAGACAAATTATTACTTTGACTGCCCTAACAGCATGTATCAATTTATCTTAATTTCTGAAAATACATTCACACCTTTCAGACCAACCTCTTTTCTTTGTCACCAAGAAGAGGTCTTGTTGTTGTTGTTGTTGTTATGTGCCGTCGAATCAAACCCGACTCACAGCGACCCCTCCTTGGGTTTCCGAGGCAGTATCACTATGGAAGTAGGATTGCCCAACCTTCCTTCCGAGGAGTGGCTGGTGGGTTTGAACTGCCAGCTGTCTGGTTAGCAGGCAAGTGTCTTAGCCACTATGCTACCAGAGCTCCCAGAAGAGATCTTAGCAGATATTAATCAGAGGGAATGTGGGCCTTCATAAGTGCCCTGCTCTGGCTGAAATAGAACCCCCGGCATTTCCGTGTAGACTTGCCAGTAGATGAATGGATTTGCTTGTCCCCTGTGCCCTGGGCAGGCCTTCCACAGAGGCCTGGAAGGCAAAGCATGGACAGATGGGCTGTCAGTAGCTCCAAGAACTTGCATTCTCAAAGCCAGGAGAGAGAAAGCCAAGGGAGAAAACTCTTCCTCCTGTACCTCAGCACCTCCTCATTACACTGTCTCATTTCCCCTTGAGAGTGAAGGGCATAACTGGATCAAATGGAAACATGAGCCAGCCTCCTTCCCCCACCTGGATGAGACACTTCCAATATGGCTTCATTACCAAGCCTTTTGTAAATAAACTGTGTGGAGAAAAATGCCATTTGTTCTGCTGTAATTGCCTGATGAGCATCATTAGATGGGTCTTTGAAACACACAGAATGAAATCATTTTGGGTTTAGAAATTCCTTTGTGCAAGTATTTCTCCATTCACTATTCTCTACAGAGGGAGTCTTTGAAGGGGAACTTCTTGACCAAGGATCCAGTTCAGAGCTTGGAGGCCAATGGTGGCCAGGACACATCTGTTTGAGTAGTCAATCAGAAAATATTTTCTAAACACCCACTTTGTGCCACACAATCCTTTAGGTACTTGGGATATTGCAGTGAATAAAATACACAAAGGTTCCTATCCTCAAGAAGTTTATATTCTGGTGAGAACTCAAAAGATAGGTGCCCATTTCTCAGAACAAACTTGGTAGAAAACCTCAAAAATCAAGTTTGTTTAACAGATAGTCTGGAGAACTGTGAAATAAAAACCCTTTGGATTTCTGTGTGTGAGTTCATTGTTCTCTTAAGGATGTATCTTCAGCCAGATGGATCTTGGCTGAAAGCAGAGAATACCAGAAAGATCCTTACCTATGTTTTATTGACTATACAAAGGCATTCAATTGTGTAGATCAAAACAAATTATGGATAACATCTTGAAGAATGGGAATTGCAGAACATTTAATTGTGATCATGTGGAACTTGTACATAGACCAAGAAACAGTCATTTGGACAGAACAAGGGGATACACTACTGCACGGCTTAAAATCAGGAATGGTGTGTGTCAGTGTTGTTGTATCCTTTCACTATACTTATTCAATCTGTATGCTGAGCAAATAATCTGAGAAACTGGACTATATGAAGAAGAATGTGGCATAAGGATTAAAGGAAGACTCATTAACAATCTGTGACATGCAGACGACACAACCTTGCTTGCTGAAAGTGAAGATGACTTGAGGTACTTACTGATGAAGATCAAAGACTACTGCTGTCTTCAGTATCTATTACATCTCAACATAAAGAAAACAGAAATCCTCACAACTAGACCTATAAGCAAAATCATGATAAATGGAGAAAAAATTGAAGTTGTCAAGGATTTCATTTCACTTGGATTCATAATCAATGCCCATGGAAGAAGCAACCGAGAAATCAAATGACACATTGTGTTGGGCAAATCTACTGCAAAAGACCTCTTTAAAGTGTTTAAAAGCAAAGAGGACTAAGGTATGCCGGACCCAAGCCATGGTATGTTCAATCACCTTAGATTGAAATTGCCTCAGACAGTGAATAAAGAAGACCGAAGAAGAACTGATGACTCTGAATTACAGTGTTAGTAAAGAATGAACAAATCTCTCTTGGAAGAAATACAGCCAGAATGGTCCTAAGAAATGAGAATGGCCAGACTTCATCTCACCTACTTTGGTCACGTTGTGAAAGGGACCAGTTCCTGGAGAAGGATATTATTTTGGTCCTCTGGTGGTTCTATAGGGAGCTCTGGTGTACTGCCTAAGGCATTTGATTGCTAACCAGAAGGTTGGTGGTTCAAACCCACCAGCCATTCCTCGGAAAGAAGGTTGGGCAATCTACTTCCGTAGTGATACCACCTCGGAAACTCAAGGAAGGGTGGCTATGAGTTGCATCCAATTTGATGGCAGTGAGTTTTGAGTTAGCGCTTCTATAACAGAAATACCATAAGCAGAAAGTTTTATTTTCTCACAGGTTAGGAGGCTAGGAGTCTGAAATCAGAGTGCTGGCTCAATGGGCTGGGTGAAGGCCTTTTGACCTTGGGCTTCAGGATCTCCCTCCTGTTCCAGGCCCACAAGAGCTGGAGGCTTTTTCTGACTCATGTAACTGCTGGCTGCTGAGGGTGATGAACCAAAGATTGATAAGTAAAATGGGCAAGTCTCAAGATTAGCAGACAACATGGCAGGCCACTAGTTCAAGTCCAGGAACAATCCCAAGACTGACAGGCAACATGGCAGGATCCAGACGTACCAAAAGCTAGAGATCATCATCAAACTTTCTTATATATACTGGATACAGGCAACACCCCAAAGGCAGCTACTTAGCTGCTCACAGCAGATTCTACCATGGAGGTGATTACCAGTCTTATCATGGGGAATAAGTACATCCAGCTGCCCAGCCACTCAAAACCATGGCCCAGCCAAGGTGATACACAACCTTTATAACTATAACTATAACTATAACTATAACTATAACTATAACTATAACTATGAGTTGAAATTGACTCGACAGCACCTAATCACCACCACCATCAGCACCAGCACCACCACAACCAATTATTAATTGCTAGCTATGTTCCCAGGTTGTGTGCTAAGCACTTTCTAGACATTGTCTCATTTACTCTTCACAATAACTCTTCAAGGCAGGTAATATTATTCCCTTATTTCAGATGAAGACAGCAACCTCAGGAGGCAATCTAACTTGCCCAAAGTCCCACAGCTACTGAGAGGTGGAGATGGGACTTGAATACAGGCCTTCCTGACTCCTTATCTCAAGCTTTTATCCACTTGTCTCTATATCAACTAACAAACATTTGTATCTGTTACTCTCCATCAGTAATAGATACAAAAGGGAAAAATGAGAGAGGTGATCAGGAATCACAGAGGCCAATTCAGAATCTCTGAGGGTGGGTGGCTATTTTCAGAGCAGAGCATTCTTTTAAGCCTACATATCTTATATGACTATCTTAGCTTCTCTTCATCACTGCTGGTTTGTTGGTAATCTCAAAAAGAGAGCAGTCGTTGTTTTTGAGTAACTACATGTGTGCCAGCACAGAACCGTGCTCCTTAGTGTTTTCAATGGCTGATTTATCAGAAGTAGGTTGTCAGACCTTTCTTCTGAGGCACCTCCAGGTGGACTTGACCTTCCAACCTTGTGGTTAGCATCTGAGCCCATTAACCATGTGCACAACCCAGAGACACACTATCTTTATTGGAAAAGAGATCTGTCTTCCTCCAACACCGTTATCTTAGAAAGAGATATCAGGCAAACACCAGTCTCAGTTGCAGCCAAGAACAGCCTTTGTCAGCCTGAGGGATCCCTCACCCCAACATGGAGAGGTCCCCTGGCTCCTGACTGTGTGACCTGAGGAGCAGAGTGGCTGCTGAACCCTGATGTCTCCAGACTCTTTCCCAGCTCAGAGGGACTCTAGGCAGGCAGCCTGTCAGGACATGTGCCAAGGAGGCAGTGCCAAGAGAGGGGACTTCCAGAGAGCTGGCTTACCTTGAATGAGATTTCATACTGCTCCCCTCCCCAAATCTCCAAGCCGGGGTCATACCCGCCCAGCTCCCAGAACCACTTCCGATCCACTGCGAACAGTCCACCAGCCATCACAGGAGACCTGTCAGGGAATAAAAATATGCCATGAAGATGCGGGCATCCTGGCTGTGGGCTCCTTATGTAGACTGATGGTGCTACTTTCCTGATGATGGTGCTCTAGGCTGCTCCATCCACACAGCCTAGTGCCAGGCAGGGAATTCAAGGCCCTCTGATTGAGGCCCCAGGCTTTCTTCTTTCTTCTCTACAACTTCCCTTCATAAACCCTATATTTTAAGTCAAACTGATTCAAAGTTCCTTTCACAGAGTCAGAACCTCAAAAAACCCAATGGGGGTCACTATGAGTCAGAATGGACTCAATAGTATTCAGTTTTTATTGTTAAAACTAATGTCACCTGTTGCTTTCTGCATTTTTTAAATGTGGTTACTAGACAATTTAAAATTCTCTATGTGGTCTGCATTATATCTCTCCTGGACAGCGGCACTGACTTCACCTCTCTGAGCCTTTTCCCCATCCTCACCATAGAGGTGGGGCTACATTACCTATCTCACGTTGCTGCTAAGTTTCTAAAAGTACCTAGTGCTATGAGAAAATAAGGGGTAGTGGTATTACTTCGCCTTTATCTTCTGATTGTTGTGGGCTTCTGTTTTTTTTTTTTTTTGGCTGGAGCTGTAAATCTGCTCCTTGGAGGGGCAGACGGTATTTCTGACTTGATGCTTCATGGGAAATCAGACTTAAGGTTGCACACGAAACCTAGCCTAGGTGGAAGCTAGTGGCTGGAGCCAAGAAACCATGGAACTGGTAGGATATTAGCCTGAAGGCATTTTGGACGCTCCAGGCTTTGCCTCCTGAGGGAGGCCTCTCTTCCTAGCCTGCACCATTTTCTGATGCATTCAGCAATAACAACAACAATTCTGAGTGTCTAGTATGTGCCACTCACTTTACTAACATTATCTCCAGCTCTCACAAAGCTCGATTACTAACCCCTTTTCAGACAGAAATTTGAAATTCAGAAATGCTACATAATCTGCTCAAGGGCATGTAGTTAGCAAGTGGATGAGCTGCAATTCAAACCTAGGTCTGCTGCCAAGCCCAAAGCCGGTGCCTTTCAAACATCATTATACCACAGCAGGCCTGCAGTCTGTCCACCCACCAGGGCCCTGGGGAGGTGTGTGGAGAAAGACTGGGCCTTCCCTGGTGGCCACAAATGTCTGACCTGCTTAAGAAGCACATGGACTCAACTAATGCCCTCTGCTCTTGGCTCATGCCACCTTCCAGTGCCCAGCCACCCTTCATTTTCCCTCAGACAAGCCGAGCTTTTTCTACTTCTGAGACTCCTCTGGGGCCCACAGCTTACGGACGTGCCTGAGGAAGCCCAGGCATGCACTGTCAATGAAGATGGCTAAGCTGTCAACAGCCCCCTTTTTAGGTAGAGAGGGCAAGAGACAGAGAAGTTGGGAGCTCATTGAGGGTCAAACTGTGTCTAGGCAGGTGTGGTAGACAGAATAATAACCCTCCCAGAGATTTCCATGTCCTAGTCCTGGAACCTGTGAGTGTTATCTTACATGATAAAAGGGATATGATTAAGCTAATGTTAAAAGATTTTGAGATGGAAAGATTATCCTTGATTATCTGGGTGGGCCCAATGTAATCATAAGGCTCCTTATAAGAGGGAAGGAGGAGATCAGAGAGAGAAGGAGATGTGATGAGAAGAATAGACGGTCAGAGAGGCAAAGAGAGATTGGAAGGTGCTGCTGGCTTTGAGGATGAAGGAATGGGGCTCTAAGCCAAGGAATGTAAGCAACCTCTAGCAGCTGGAAAAGGCAAGGAAACATTTTCCTAGAACTTGCTGATCCTTTGATTTGAGTCCAGTAAGACTCATTCTGGACTTCAGACTTGCAGAAATGTAAGAAAACAAATGTATTGTTTTAAGCCACTAGGTGTGTAGTAATTAGTTACAGCAGCAGTAGGAAACTCATGCAGCAGGAGAGCCTGGACTTTGGCTTTGTTTCTAAAGATCTTTTCTTCACCTCTGGTAGGAAGGATACAAAGCTCACAAGATAGCTGCAAGGATGGTGAGCACATTTTCGAAGAAAAGACCTTTCCAGAGCTTGGGACACTAGAGAAGAGATTGGGCTCTAATTCTGGTTTAGAGACAACTCCCTCTCCTAGGGCCTCGGTGTCCTCATTTGAAGAAGGGTTGGAATCTATCATTTATAAGTTCCCTTCCAACTTTCACATTTTAGGATGCTTTGAGCCCAGTTCACACATCCTCAAACTTCTGCTACAGGACAAACTCCTATTTCCCTAATTCTTCTAAGGGCTTTAACAGAATGATGGGAAAATGGGTTCTGGAGTTGACAGACTTGCATTTGCATTTGACCTTTGCCATTTAATCACTGTGTAAACTGAACAACTTACTTAGCTTCTTAGAGCCCTGGATTCCCCATGTGGAAAACATGGCTAATAATTTTTAGTGCATATGGTTGTTGGAGACGTAATGTTCTCAGCACTATGCCTGACACCTAGAAAGTGTTCAATGAATAGTGATGATGATGATGATCACAGTTTGGCCAGGCTTGAAGGAGTCCCTGGGTAGTGGAAATGGTTAAGTGCTTCACTACTAACCAAAGGGCTGGCAGTTTAGACACACCCAGAGGCTCTTTGCCAGACAGGCCTTGGTGATCTGCTTTTGAAATGTCCCAGTCTTGAAAACCCATGGAGCAGTTCTACTCTGCACACATAGGATCAACATAAATTGGAAATGACTCCATGGCAACTAACAACAAGCTTGATTTGAGAGGTTGGTTGGTTCTGAATAGAGAGCATGACTGATTCTATTCAGCCCCAGCTGGCAATCCTGAGAAACTGTGCAGAGGTGGGCAAGGTGGAGGAGAACATGTTGGTGTCTATGAGCTAAGGCTCTGTGATAAGCTGGGAGGGGATGTACTTCTGGTCGGGATGTCTGACACTAGTTGCTGCATAGGGCCAGGACTGGAGACCTGCATTGGACTGGTGAGGTGGTGATTCTGAGCTCTGTGTGTGTATATGTGTGTGTGTGTGTATGAAGGGGAGTGTCACTGGTTCAGCCACTGGGATGAGCCTGGGTCACACATACTTACTCAAATGGGTCACTGGGGTCAGCTTTCTGCAGTTCTGGAGGGATTGGGATCCGTTTGTAGTACATCTCCCAGTCAAAGGCGCCCCGCATGGCATCCCCTGCCTGCGTCTCATACCGGAAGTCATCATGATCAATCACATCAATCATTGGGCATACGATGGTCTTGCGGTTCCGAGCAATGCGGTCTGAAGAAGCCAAGAGATGGCCATTAGGTGAGGCAGGATGGTGGAATAGCTAAGTACATGTTCCTATTCTGCATCTTACTCATATTTTTAACATGTTTCTCAGGTGATTCCTCTCAACACTCCGGTTTGAAAATCCATGGGAAGAAGGGAGAATGCAGGCGTTAAGCAAGATGGCCAGGACTCCCATCCCAGCCCTGCTACTCATAACAGGGCCAGGGCCAGCTACTTAAATAAGTTCTCTAAGCCCCAGTGTTCTCCTCTATGAAATGGGAACAAGAAAAAGCTCTGCCTCATAGGTTACGAAGACTGGAGATAATAATGTTTGAAAAATGCTTAGCATAATTAACTGTTAATTATCAGTATCTTTAGGAGAAAGAGATTCATTTCCTCTGGAAGGACCCCTGCTCAGGTCCTGCAGGCTCTCCAATCCAAGTCCTGAACTTGACTTCAGTCAGCCCAGCCCACTTGCCCATCGATTGCCTGCCTATGATGGTTCACTGGTTTCCCCAGGCTACAGTCAATGAACAGATGACCCTCCTCGTGGGATAGTTCTGTTCAATTTTTCCAACAGTCCAAGCTACAGGAAAGAGAAGGGACTGTCCTAGTGAGTAACAACTTTCCCTGATTGGAGGTGCGCAAGCAGATGTGCAACTATCACCCTGCAGGAAGACTACAGGCTAGGTGATTCACGCATGGGAAAGGCAGCCTTGACCTAGATGTCTTTCCAGTCAGTCCCTTTCAAGCCTGGGAGAAACCAATTCTATGAAATTCCCTCTGTTAAGCCTGGTGACAGTATTCAAGCTTCGGTTTGCTCTTTCAATGTTCCTCCTGCCAGGAAGCCCTGACTGCAGCCAGGGGTCACCAGTGAGATGAAAGAGGCAGATGACCTGCCTTGAAAGGCAGCAAGTGGGCTAGGTTGGTTAACTTTTTGCTTTGGGCCAGAAGTCACGTTTAAGACTTGGAATGGGTAGCTTGGCAGTGCCAGAGCAGGCTGACAGCTGTCATGGTCCTAAGCTTCATCAAGTTATGGCACAATTTCCTTCCAGGAGAGAAAGCAGCACTTTTGCTTTTTTCTAAACTGCAAGTCACAATCCATACATGGATTATGAAATCAATTTTGTTGTATGTATGTGTTTTTTAATGAAACAGAAAGGAATACAGAATATCAGAGTACATTCCAGGCAATAAGGCAAAGTACTGTTTCAGGAAACATGGTTTAGTCACACTGCATGTGTGTGTACATTTGTCTATTGGATTGAGATGTTCAATGTGTTTCTAACTGTGGGACATGGCCAAGAACGTTTGAGAAATGCTATCCATGGGGAGTGAATCCCCAAGTGTGGACTGGGGGCTACCAGTGCTAATGCATCTGGGATGTGTGTTTAAAAAAAAATAAATAAATAAAAAGGAAAATAAAAACTCCCAACAGAACAAAAAACCACCCCCACTCACCCCATGCCAGGACCCATGAATCAAGAGTCCCTGGGAGTTGGCTTGGATCTGCCTGGTGAACTAGCTTCCTGGGATTCTTAACGAAGCTTAAGAACCTTCTCTAATTATTCATGGCCATTCAGGGGATTTCAATTCTAGATTTCATTTCTGAGGTGGTTTGGGCTGAGGACACAGTGCTCTGCTGAATGCTGGCTGACTGGAAGGCACGAGATCAAAGGGTAGTATCAGATGGGCAGCAGCATCCTATAGTGTTGTATTTATTGAGGACAGACTACCCAGGTTCAAATCCTAGTTTGTCACCTACTAGAGGTATAAATTTGGATGAGGATATATGATGCTTGTGAGCCTCAGTTTCCTTGCCTATAGAATGGAAGTGAGACAGCACCTGTCTCACAGTGTCTCTGAGGACAGAGTGGGACAATGGAGCCAAAGTGCTTAGCTCAGCTGGTAGCACATGATCTGCACTCAGCCAACATTCTCTGGGACTAGGATTATTGAAAGAAGCTCAGAAACAGGTGTTGGAAGGCTGAGCATCTCCCTTATTCTCTTTGTCCCTCAGGTTTCTCATTTGCAAAATGTGGACCGTAAATGCTTAGTCTGTCTGCTTCACCATGTAAATATCAAATTCAAATGTGGAAGAGGCCTAAAAAGCTAAAAGACTATTAGAGTCAAGATAATGATGATAATGATGATGAGGTTGATGATGATGACGACGACGACGATGATGGAAATGATGATCAACAGTGACTCTCCTCTGGTGGAGGGCAGAATGCTTTCAGGTTCAGAAATCCCTACTTTCCAAAAAAGACAGAGTGAGCCATGCATGGAGGTGTTAATGGTTTCATAGACAAAGCCATGATGCTTTCTGTCAGCTGCTATTAGCAGGAACAGACTTTTAAATCTACACCACTGGTTCATATTTCTATTGGAAAAAAAGAAAAAAAAAAAGGGGGGGGGAATGTTTCTTCCATGTGTGTCTGCAGATTATGAAAATTACACTCATACATTTCCATAGAAACAGAGTTAAGGGCTATTTAGCCTACTAACTCAGCTTTGTGCCCACCACTTCATTCTCTTTATGAGTCACTGAATGACCCTACAAATAGGTTGTTCCTTTAGAACTATAAATTAGGTGCTTTCTGGTGAGGGTTTCTCTTTGGGTGATGAGGGGAAAGATGCAGAAGATTGCTTGGTTTAATTAAATACACAGTTTATCAGAAATTCTGGGCCACAGCCTTATTTCCTAACCCAGTGAGATCCTGGACCCTTGTGGTCAGATGCTCATGATCTAATAATAAAGCTCTGTGTTGATCTGTGTTAGAAAACAAATTTGCTGGCTTATCCCATTTAACTGTGTGGGTTTGCTTTCTGTCCTCACCCCTGAATGGCAGCATTCCCTAACCAGTGCTACTCAAGTGTGGTTCCTGGACCATCAGCATTGGCATCATCTGGAAGCTTATCAGAAAAGCAGATTCTCAGTCCCTACTCAGCCCTCTTGAATCAGAAACTCTGGGAGTGGGGCCCATCACTCTGTGTCTTAGCAAGTCTTCCAGGTGATGTGACACATACTCAAGTTTGCCCTAAACTTCAGTCTGCTTTGCTCCCTACACTTCCTGCTGTTTTTAGAGCTTATTCATCTATTCTCCAGGGGTTAACTTTTCTCACTAGATTGATGACCTCTTCCCCAATCTGCCTCTAGCCTTGTCTCTCACCTGACTCCCACTCTTACTGATGACATTTCCTCTGTCTGCTGTCCAGCCCATTTCACTGCCTTTATCATAGCAGAACTCCTCAGGACTCAGGGCTGTTTCTTCAACCAGTTATAAGGTCACCTCACTGTCCATTATCCAATCCTCATATTTAAATTTGCTCACAGATATGGTGGATGAGTCCTGGATCATGCTGCCTTATCTGTAACTCTCCTCTGATACCTGTTGGAATCTCTTTCATTAAAGGAAGTGAATTCAGGGAGGCAGTATAGAACTGTGGAAGAGCACAGATTTTGAAGCCAGAAGATGGTGTTTTTGACACTTATGGCCCAAGGGGATGGTTAAGTTACACAACTTTGAACCTCAGTTTCCACTACTATAAAAAAGGGATGTTTTCTACCTTGCATGGTTTTGTGAGGATGAGGGATAATGCTTATAGCCTGCCTGGCTCACAGTAATTGTGCCATGAATAGTAATTATTCTAAGTTGATATGATGGTGTTACCCTATAATATGGCTCTTAATAGTAGAAGGCTTAGCTTGCCTTCTGACGAAATTTAAGGTAATCTCAAGCAATCAATCATGTCCTTAGACATGCTGTGTGACCTCAGGCAAGTAATTTCCCCTTGCTCAGCTAGTTTCTTTCTCTGTAAAATGGAAAGACATAACTGAATGGACTTTAAGGTCCTTTGAAGCATCCCTGACCTTCTGAATCCCTCTTGGCACCTGATACTGCACTGTGTGCATCTTAAGCAGACAAGGGAACCCTCGTAGATGACTCCCTGCAGAAGGCTGGGTGGCCTGGGCCAGGGCAGCTGGTTCATTCCAGGCCGTCTACTTCTCCTGGGAAGAGATCCCTCACCAAGCAAGGGGGGCAGCCAGTTGACATTGGCTTCACAGTGCGAGTCTAAGAACGTGATGACATCCCCAGTTGCTGCCGAGGCTCCCAGCATCCGGGTTCTTATTAGACCTTCCCGTTTCTTGGTACGGAGAATTCTCACACTGGGGAAAAGGGCCATGTAGTCTTCAAGTGGCTTCTTGAGGTGCTCTGTGAGGGAGACATTAGAGGACAGATGGGTAAGAACAATGGCTTAGTAATCATTCTTGTGGTCCCTGCTCCCTTACAAGTGTATCATAATTTACAGCTTACATGTGGCTTTCTGTTAAACTTCTTTATTAGATCTTTCAGATGTGGTTAAGAAGGGCAGGGATCATCACTTGTATACTACAAATGAGGAAACTGAGGTTCAAAGAAGTCAAGTAACAATGCTATGCCTGGATAACAGAGAGATCTTCTGTACTAGAATGTGGGCATCTATGGTTTCTGGCTGGGACCATTCCCTCTATTTCTGGTAACAACACACTGATTTTCCTTTAGGAAACTGCCCCTTCCCTTCTTATACATTAAGTTTGGATGGGGCTGACCTCAGCCCCTGGTTCTAAGGTAGGGGCACATGACTCAGACCTGGCCTATCAGAGCATTTCATTCCTTTGGCCACAGTGATTAGTTCAGGGATCACAAAATCACATACTGTATGATTTTTTTTTAAAATTTTATTATTTTATTATTTATTTATTTAATTGTGATTTGGGTGAAGATTTAAAGAGCAAATTCACTCTCCATACAGCAGTTCACATATACTTTGTCTCATGTCATTGACCACAGTTTACCACAATGCAACAGCTCCCCTCCCACTTCCTCCCCATAGTT